TGACACTACAAGATGCTCCAGGCTCATCTTGAATATTTCCTGCACCAATCCTGGAATTAGCCACTTCTCCAGGGAGCCCTGATTCCTTAAATTGGAAGATGATATTAGAAACCAGTATCTGTGTGCTCATTGGGCTCATTGCTTCTGGAGAGTCATTTCTTTTGGGCCTCTTAGCTGAGAGAGCAAGGAAGTATATATCTGGGTATATTAACACATCTTTGTGCATATATCTACAAATATTGCTATATATAGCCACCTGCATCTGTATTAGGCTAAACATGAGTTTGTGCTGACATCTCAAACTCTAATCCTTTATGCACAAATCATTCTAACCCATTCCCCTTGCTTATCTGTAAATTTCCACTCGATAGTGAGAAAGCTGACCCCATCACCCACCACTCATTTACTTAATTGCTCACTTCCTGTATACATGTATAGGAATATCAGAATTGTCAACCTGTACCCTCATGGGAAAAACTTTATCAACTACAGTGTGGTGCTTATGGGCCCCCCCTTTATTTATTTATTTTTTTGCCTTTAATCTTGCGTTTAATCTTACGTTCTTTCCTGGTATCCTCCGACCTCCTCACCGATTTTTTTAATTTGCCTGCATTAAGGTTCACTCTATAAAATTCTATGACATATCTGAACCAAGTTATTGTTATCCTATAATAACCACCTATTTATAAAAATAATAATTACATTTTGGCACAGCTTGATGAACCCAATGCCAAAGTTACTTTTCATATTATAAAATGGCAAAACTTAGCATTGGTTCTTCAAGACATTTAAAACATGTTAATAACCTTATAGCTGATCACTCATCAATTTGAAGAAGAGCTATATTTTGACAATAAACTTGAATGAAATCTCTGCCAGTGACATTAAACGAAGTCTTTGACCCAAGACCTTCAATGATTTAATGAACATTTGCTAGGTGAGACCTGCATGCCAGGCACAGTGCTTGGCACTGAAGATACCAACATAAATGAGATCTGATCACTGCAGGACTGGGCATTGAGTGCAGTGGTAAAGACGCACAGAGGGAAGTGTGGGGGCAGAGTGGAGAGCCACCTAAACCATCCCAGTGGGTCTGCAATGGCTTCAGGGCTGCCTGAACTGCAGCTTAAAGGATGAGTCAGCCAGGGATGCAGAGAATGGAAAAGGACCTTCCAGGGAGAGGACAGACTAAAGTCATGAAGGGTTTTATAGTATAGTGTACAGGAAACTACTATAAGTTAAATGTTGCTAGAGTTAGAAGTGAGGGGCAGGATTTGGTTAGAAAATTAGATTAGATTAGAGAGATAGGCAAGGACCAGGTAATGGAGGGCCTGTAAGCCACAGTACTGAGGTCAAGTTCATCTGTGGTTTATGAGGACCTACTGAAGGTTGAAAGCAGAAGAGTGTCACAGTTGGACTTGTGCTTTAGAGAGCTCACTCTTGCGACTGTGAGGAGTGGGTATGACGGGACAGGACTGGAGATGAGGTGGCCAGCAAGAAGAGTGTTGTTCACCTAACTGGGACAGTCACAGAAAGGAAGGAAAATAATGGGCCATGTGTAGAATAGTCAGGATCTAGACTGAATGTGAGGGGTAGATGAGAGAAAGAAGTCCAGGATGACCTTGTGGTTTCCAGCAGAGATAAACGGATAGCTTGTAATGCCACTAACTAAGGTCAGGAATACAGGAGGAAGTATCAGTATAGGAAGGAAGATAATGGTTTCAGCTTGGAGCACATTGAGTTGGAGAAACCCAGAGCCACCAATGTGGAAATACCCAATAGGAATTTAAAAAATAAGTTACCGAGTAAAGAAATTAGGTGTATTAATGTAGGATTATTCTGCAAATGGATGATGATTATAATAAAAGTCGTAGATAAGGGAATGCCTAAACGTTATGCAGAGTGAACAGAATCCTGGGGACCCCTTGCATTTAAGACAAGCCCATGAAGGAAAAAGACAGGGAATAGAGGGGTAAAAGGAAAACAACGTAAAGATTGTCTCATAAAAGCCAGGGGAATAAGAAGGACAAAGGGGATGATCAATGATGGCATACTAAATAAGGACCCCTCTTCTATGACGCAAAAACGTTCTGCAGTCCCCAAAACATGACCTGGGGCTGCGCTTTGCCTTTTAAAAGAAATGTGTTAAGGAGGTAATTTGTAATATGCAAGTATTTGTGGGAATTTTACATAATCAAGAGCCATTACCTTATATCAGACAACATGGCAGCAGGAAAATTAATGGTGTGGCCAATGAATACGAGGTACACAGAATAAGCAAATTATGTACAAGAGATTCATAACAGACCAATCCTACACAGCAGAGAAATCTTAAACTATCTAAGAAGAATTGCTTACAACTTTTGAAGCAAATTGACTAAGGAAGAAATACAGATTATAATCTTTAATCTATAAGGAATAGTACTAGTGGAAATAATGCAAACTAAAACTCAAAACAGCCAAAACTGCTCACCATAAAAATGTATCATAGATGAAGCAGCTCTGGCTCGTAAAACTTAAAGTATAAAAGTTGACCCAAAGAAAAAATAGTCTCAATAAAAATATCCAGCATTAGGTAAAACAAGCAGTGACTAATTGACATATGAATCAAATCTTTTTAATAAAAGTTAAGTCTTTAAAACTAATCCAGAAAAATTGGACTTGATAGGAGTAGTGACCACAGAAGCCTTTGAAAGATGATAGGGACCAAAAGACTGATGAATCAAATCTTTGCTATAAAATTTACATGGAAAAGAAGTATAACTAGTGATGATAATTTTAGTAAAGTAGTAATGAAAGTACAAAAATTGGGGAGGAGTTTAACTGAGATATGTGGAAAATGAATTGGGGAATTATCTTGTTGAAATTAACTCTAAAAATACTTTCTAATGAAAATTAATTCATATTCTCATATTTCTGATTAAAATATTTACATAGAATCAGAAAAATCTTACAGTTAAAGAAAAAACACATGGAAGCAAAATATACTTAGCCTTCGAACCCCAAGGACTATCAATAGTGAAGGAGAACTTGATTGTACAGAAGGTCAGTCTGAGGTGACACTAGGTCACCCGAGCCCCTCTCAGTGACATAAAAAAGGCCTGAGTGATGAAGAAGAAAAGTGGCTCCCTTCCTGAAGGGTTCTTGATAAATATTTCACTTACTGATTTATTGGCTTTATACCGTCCTGTCCCAAATAAGAATTTAAGGCAGCTAAAAAAGCAAAGAAAAGGAAAGAAAAAGAGACATACAAGATAAAATAAAATTTCAGTTAAATGGATGAAAAAGTCATAGTTTTGAGAACTATTCTGATCATCTGTCAGTATACTAGGAATTCATTGCACTGATTTCTTTTTCCATGTCTCTGGAACACTATTAATAATTCCTTTCTGGGGGTGAAATGTTGATAATAAAAGTGCTTCTTTAGAATTTCTTCCAAAACACATAAGTTCTAGCCCATATTTAGATTCATTCAATCCATTGCTCCAGCTTAGTAACTTAGAAGCAAGCATCTTGCTAATGCGTTTATTTATCCGGACTCACCCTCTCATCTTTTCGCCTCTCTGTTTTGGAAGAAAATCCTTGAACTATTTCTTCTCTGTCCCAGAGAGGTCATAAATCTGACATATTTGTTGCTTCTTGGACTGAATATTTCATCAAGTCCTTGGACTTTGATAGGATCCAAGAGTACAGAGATGTATTTTAAATATATTAGAAGCAATTAAAATGAAAGAATGAAAATAGTAAACATTGCAATTAAAACACCTAAGCAAGAAATAAACCTTGATGCATTTTCTATTTTAAAAAGAAAAAATGCTTTAAAGGAAAGCTCATGCTAAAATAAAGGAACAATAAGTATAGCACTGAACACTGACTCCTTCTTCTGGAAGCTGTGCTGTACCAAGCTCAGCCTGCTGAGCCACATCACCAGCCTGGTTTTCAGTTTCCCCAAGTTCCTCAATCAGAGAAGTTCTGTGTCCTGCCAATGGGGCATTTCTGACAGTCCAGGTGAAGCTCATTATGGGCAGTCAGTCATCACTTTCTGAGCCCTGGCACTGTGCTTTGTGCCATGAAGACACATAGGAGACTGTGCTCTCAGGGAGTGTGTTGAGATCCTTTTACCTCCTCCTATTCTATCTTAAAACACAACAGCAAGAAAAAAACTGGAAATAAATATACCACAGTGTGGGGAGATTGCAGAGATTTTTAAAAGTGCTGAATACTGTTTGAGTTAAACATCTTCATTCATGGATGCTCCCAATAAACCAGAATGTTCTTAATTGACATTTCTTCTTTAAAGATAATGTAAAATCCATTTATCTAATGATTATCTTTTGCACTCCTACTATGTGCCGAGCTCTATGCAGGGTACCAGATATATAATGATGAGCAAAGAGAAAAGGACTCCGCCCTCACAAGCATATGTTCCAATGAGGAGAAGGAGAAAGATAAAAAAGAAAAAAAAGATAAAGAATTTCAAATAGAGGAGCTGGTGGGATAAGACATCAATAGGTGGTGAGAAAAGGCTTCTCAGAGGAAGTATCATGTGAGATGAAATCAAATGACTGAGAGGGAACCAGCCCAGAGCCAGCCAGGGTGGGAAGAGCTCTCCAGGCAGAGGGAACAACATGTGCAAAAGCAGGTTGGGGTGTCTGCTGGTCAAAGGAGGTGGCAGGAGATCATGCAGAGCCTGGTAGACCCTGACACCCGCATCAGCATTTTTTCCATGGAGAGCAGGAAGCTCTCTTACTCTGCTGCTGGGTGGAGAATAGATTGAGAGGGGATGCTGCAGAAATGAAACCCAAGTACAGGCATCAGTGCACATTAAAATTAATATGGAATGTACTTAAGGCCACTGAATTGTACACTTGAAATTGTTGAAATGGTAAATTCTATGTTATGTATACTTTACCGCAACAAAAGTAATTAGTATGGGCAGGGAACAGGTGCTCCCCAAATATACATTGCCATTGCATGAATATTGTTCCTTCCTTTCTCAGACCCACAGGAGCTCCAGGGAGCAACGAGTACAATGTGGGAATGGTCGGGACGCACGGGCTGGAGACCTCTCACGGGGACACTTTCAGCGGCAGTATTTCAAGAGAAGGAACCTTGATGATTAGAGAGGTAAGTTAGTATAAAAACTATGTAGAGGAAGTGCATTTCTTAAGTGGTTTTTATACTACAGGGTTTTCACAGAGAATGCTTACGGCATGTATTTTGAGCTTGGGGCATGTGGCGGGTGGGGGGCGGGGACCTGTGTTTCTAAATGGTTGAGTGATTTTAATTGTCTGCGCCTTCTTTCCTGTATCCTTCTAAGCTTTTGCAGTGTGACTTAATTACATTAGTCCAAATTCTTCAACAGGAGCCATGCAAATCAGAATATAGAATTTAAGCCTGAGGATATAAAGCTGGCAAACCCAGATGTTTCCTACAACAGGAAAACAGCAATGAATGGTCTCTCTGAATAGCATCAGTGGTCGTGTTATGCTCCCCCACCCGCTCACCACCCCCCGATGGTTTTATCCTTGCAGATTTCATGTAGAAAATGCTCCATAGTTCCAAGAAACGGTGATATCATCTTATCTAGTTAACATTAAAATAATCATTAAGCTATTTTCGTGAAAGAACAAAAGAAGTATGCAGATCTTCTTAAAAATGCCTCTTAGCACTTTGATTTTTTTTTTTTTTTTTTTTCTTTTTAACTCTAAAAACATCATTTCACTTGGTGGGAGGCACGTGCCCCTTTTCATCTGTCCTTCCAACCTGTGGTAACTCCCCGCTGTGTCAGCCCTAACCAGAAGGGCCCTAACAAATTAGAAGCTATCTCTTCACTTCATCATCACCATGCACGTTTGAAGACAGGTTTTGACTTGGAAGGAAAGTAATGGCTGCTCATCATACTGGGAAAACATTATGTGACCTCTCCTTGCACCTGTTTTATCATCTATAAAATTTCATAAGTAATGGCATACGACATAAGATGGCTGAGGAGATTAAATGAGTTAATAATTATAAGCATTCAATAAATGTTAGCGATTTTATTTCACTCTCTCCACAGAGTTGAGTTCTCCCTTTACTTGTGATCACTGCCCACTCTTCCCTCTGAAACATAAGCATATGTCATCTGGCGTTCTCCTTCCTCAACCAGGATAGAGTTGGGAAACCCTAACAGTAGGCTGCGCTCTCCAAAAAGGCAAAGGGCATCTCACTTTTGTAAGAAAGAAAGGAAGTGATGGGATGAATAAGGCCTTTGAAGTAATCACTGGCAGTGGGGCTATAACTGGAAGACTAGTCCACAAAGCAACTTGCTAGAATTTTATTTTACGGCCTTGTCACATCTTTCGAGTAGGCTTTAAAGAGTCCTTTCATGTATGCCTGGAATGAAAAATGGCCTTGGCTGCTGAAGTTGACATTGTGTAGTGCTGGCTTATAACCCTCCCAATGTTGTGAATGGTTCATTTCATTGGATATGTAGAGGGCTTCTATCACTATAGCTTGGGAAAACATGAGCGAGAATGTTCTGGAATGAGTTACTCTTTGAGTCCAAGTAATAGGACTCCAATTTCTAATGTGGCTTAAAATTTGCTTCAGCATTTATGACAG